AATGTTATACAGTCCATCTCTAGGTGAAAACTCACAAAATATTTCCTGCATCAAGAATACTCACACTTTGATTTTGGGTTTACACAAGAGATCTATTGAAATTCATTACATAGGTAATCACCAAAACTTCCTTATGGCACTAAATGATATCAGACAGTACATGATGTACTAGGATTTTGAAATAATAATGTTACTGGTAATCATTTAAATCAGAAAGTGGCATTACCTAACGTTGTGAATACAGGACATTTAAAATTTATTTTGGTAATCATCAACTACAACATAGGTGTGTACACAACAAATATTTCACATAGTGCACCAGTAATCCTCAAAACAAATTTAAGTTGTGTTACTGGTAATCAAATAAATGTATCATTTGTCATTACCTAAAACATAATTTACATTACTCTAAAGGTTAATATTTACTTTGGAAACAACAGCTACAACATTAGTGTAAACAATGAATATTTTATGCAGGGCATAGGTAATCCCTATATATATAATATGTAAATACAATTTATACATATATTATATGGAATAGTACGCTTTACATCAAAATAATCTTTAAGTAATCAACATATTTATCATTTGTCATTACCTAACATATAAAATACAGGACAATACACCTATATTTACTATTGTAATATTTGACTATAACATTTGACATAACCTAACTACACATTTGGTGCGAAACAGAACAATTTGATTTTTTTTTTTAAATTGTAAAAAATATGATAAAGATAAATTTTAACAATTAAAAGTAGCTTACCATCAAGAGCAAGGAACACCCTCCCAAATGTGTAGGTTTCTCCTCGGCCTTGAATTCAGATATAGCATCAACCGAACTATCAAGCACAAACTTTGCGAAATTCCAATGCTTTATACAATCTAGTTCGACAACAAGATGAAGCCATCCCATTTTTGGCTTTTCCTCAACGCTTGGGCATATTAGTGCAGTCATGACAAAAACATCAAACATACGTTCAAATTGTGGATCGTCATACGCAATTTTCCTTAGTTCGGATGCCATGCCTTGGACTTTCAGTTCTGTAAACCTCAAAAGCTTTTCATCAATGGCATTTACATCGGCTAACTCCGCACTATCAATATCAAAGCCATGATCTTTAAATCCCAACAGGTACTCAACATGGGTGTTTGTGATCTGTATTTTATCCCCATAAACCCCTAATGTTCTTATTGACGGATCAAAGTGGTCTATAACCCACTTGCACATAGTCTTTCTCGTTGTCTTAGTGATGTAGTGTAAAAGAATTCCAAAACCCATAGCCTCTATTTTATCTTTTTTCTCTCTTGGAAATCCTTTTACTAATGATACAAATGCTTCTAGTTGACATAATGGATTCCAAGGTACCTACATACATATAATTTTAACTTTGAAATTTTAACTTTGAAATTACTGAACATTATAAAAATAACAGCATTAAACCAAAAGTATATAAATTTATACCGTCGTTGTTGTTGAACCTCATTTAGGGAATGGCCTCAAGGTTTTTTCTGCAGGTGCAGATGGTTCTGACCCTTGTAGACATGTTTGCCTTAACCAATGTTACACAAACAAATTTTTCACAAAATCATTCACTAACATCTAATTAGCATACAAACAGAGTGATGAACTACACAATTAAGTATCATATCACAATTACGAAAATCAATTTCATACTTATAGTTGTCAAAATAACCAATTGCATGTAAATTTAAATCTTCACAAACGCAATTATAACCAATTGTGATTATAATTTTACAAAAAAAAATTAAAAAATAAATACGGAGTACGAAATAAATAAAACAGATCAACCCCCCAAAAAAAATCCAAAAGAATCAATAATTAAGCTAGTTTGCAAATTATATATAAACAAAAAAAAAATAGAACAACCCCACAAAAAAACCCAAATGGAATGATAATAAAAAATCCTAGAACCCAATTAAACAGGCGGTAATTAAATTCGTTCTACAAAAAAACAAAAAAATTATATGTTAAATTACTCTAGTTTTCAAAATGTATAGTAAAAAAAATTAAAAAATAAATTTCAAAAACAAAAATTATAGACACAAAATAAACAAATTTCCACAAAATGTATACAAAAATTAGAGTAAAATTAGTCACTGTCACTCACAATGTAAACGAGTGTAGTTCCTTAGTTATTATTGATGTCGCAATCGCTGCCTTCTTCACCGAGTTTAGACTTGTAGTGTGATGTTGTGTGTTTTTTTAGAGGGAAAGCCAGAGAGAGAAAGATATTAATGGAGAGAGATATATTAGAATGAATAGTAACCGACATATTTACTTGATTAAAGGTAAAAAGCGACGGTTGAAATTGATTTTGTTTTAATTTTTTTTATTTGGCAACTACATGCACGAAAAAACCAGAATACCCTTTTGTATATTTGTGCACTTCAATCTTTTTTTGTTATTTGTTTTTTTAATTAACTTATTTATTTATTTTTTTGGTAAAGATTTAGTTGTAATTCTAGTTTTTTGGAAATATTACCAACAAATAAAGATTCTTTAATATTTTTATTTCAAATATACAGTAAGTATATTCAAGTAATCCATAATACTATTCCTCAAAAAATATTTTCACATAATACTATTTATTTATTTTTCTATAAATAATTTCATATTATACTTTATTTTATCTAAACCTGTGCTTTGTTAAAAAAAGGTTAAAAACAAAGGAAAAATTTACAGTGGAAGACATAGGTAATACAACACCCTAATATATGTCATTGCCAATATAATAAAAAAAAAGGTTGTAAGAGTAATGCGATACTGAATAGATTAAGTAAAGATTGATGATAATGTAGTAACATTGAAATCTTAATGTCAATGCAAAATGTGCTATATAAGGTATTCAAACAGTAAAATTATAAATAATAGCATCCAAAAACAATTCCCAGTGTTAAAAACAAAGGAAAAATTTACAGTGGAAGACATAGGTAATACAACACCCATATATATGTCATTGTCAATATAATAAAAAAAAAGGTTGTAAGAGTAATGCGATACTGAATAGATTAAGTAAAGATTGATGATAATGTAATAACATTGAAATCTTAATGTCAATGAAAAATGTGCTATATAAGGTATACAAACAATAAAATTATAAATAATAGCATCCAAAAGCAATTCCCAGTGTTAAAAACAAAGGGAAGATTTACAGTGGAAGACATAGGTAATACAACACCCATATATATGTCATTACCAATATAATAAAAAAAAAAGGTTGTAAGAGTAATGCGATACTGAATAGATTAAGTAAAGATTGATGATAATGTAATAACATTGAAATCTTAATGTCAATGCCAAATGTGCTATATAAGGTATTCAAACAGTAAAATTATAAATAATAGCATCCAAAAGCAATTCCCAGTGTTATTACCAAAAAAAATAAAGCTCAAAGTATGCAATATCATAAAATCTGATAGGTAAATACCTATTATAACTTCATTACATTAAACACCTCAACCACCTTTTCAAAAACGGCAAAGTCTTAATTCAAAATTAAAACAAACTATGGCATCTAAAAATCCGTATTTGGGTCCCAATCGAAGATGGTGGGAAACTTTTCAAATGCACTGACTTCATAACAATCGATCGCGTTTGCTGCATCGCCAGTATTGTATGTCCTTGGCATAAAGTTTCTCAATAGCTCAACGAAACCACCACTTTAAACCGGTGACGTTTTTGTTTCAGAAGTTGCTGCAGCTTTATGAACCACGTGAGTGATATCATGAACATCACGACCAATTTGAATGCCCTGGACTATATTATCATTCCCAGTGGTTTTGACTTCACTCTTTTTGGGTCTACCCCTGCCTTTTCCTTTATTAACCTTTTGGTCTTTTATGATGTCCTTTTCCTTGGGATTTATTTTCTCATTTTCAATTTCCAACAACATTTTTGTTAACTTGTCTCTCACCCAAGTTGATCAATCATACGATGAAGAAACCATTCTACAAAGCTGTGCACTTAATCCAGTGAGGAATGCATAACGTCCATTTGCTGATGCCTGGTCGTTTCTCTTCGGAAAATCATGCTCTTTGTATGTATTCTGCAGATGCACCTTGGCTCTGATTGTCCACCTACGAAGAATACAACCGGATGGTATCTCAACCATTCCTTTGAACTTCATTACTGCAAACATATGTCGACATGGTAAACCAATGGAGTTGTACTTCATACAACAACAAACCATTTGTTGCAGTTTCTGGTTGTAATACACAACGTAATTGCAATCTTTGTTCACACAGTCGTTTAACCAAAAAGTGGTTGAAGCCCCATCACGATGTCCTTTTTCTTCCTTAGTCTTGGTCACAATGTGTCCTGATTCAAAACTTAATTCCTTCAAAAACAAATTGTACACGTTCCTTGTGTAGGTTCGTGCTTCTTGTGTCTTAATTTCAGGCAAGACCCCAGTTATTACTGGAAATGTATGTGTTGAGATGTAATCATCTTTATCTTCTTCAAATCGTATATGCTCAAGGACTTGGTCATACAACTCCACAAAATGATACAACATTACTTTTGATGTTATAACCGTTTTCAATGTACTATTCATGGACTCACATCTTTGGGTGCTTCTCATGCCTGCATACAAATGTGTATTAACCAATACTGTAATCAATAATATCACATATATATTCGATTACAATTAAATATTTGGAATACCACTTAGGTTTACTAAGGATTACCTATGCAACTAATGATCGGAAAATATTTAATGTAATGAACCATTACTGTACTATAGATTACATTAAATACAATAATTAATACTTATTTGCTTATTCAGATGAATACATATAACCAAAGTGTTATTTGGGTGATATAGGTAATGACCAAACACTGATAAACATAATAAGCGCTATCAAATTTAAATATGATAGAATATGATATATGTAATTACATTAATATCTAAAATGTACTTACCTGCATAAAATTGTCCCACCATGAAAGCCTCCGCCCATTTTTCCTTATTACTCTACAGCTCTTGTGCCCACTTTTTATCTCTCACTGCATCGTATGCTTTCATTAAGTCTTCCCAAGCCTCTTCAAACTCAGCTGGTGTACGAGCACCGTCTACACATTTCATAAAACCACTGCAAAACCGTTTGTTTGTGTGGCCCTTGATGTTGCGCATAAGATGCCACAGACATAACCTATGATGCGCATGTGGGAAAACCGTTTTAATAGCTAAAGACATAGCCTTATCCCCATCTGTGACAATGGTATATGGAGCAACATTGCCACCTGCCTCTTTTAATTGTTCTAAAACCCATATGTTTGTGTCAGTTGTTTCGTTTGCAATCAACGCAACACCTAAGGGTACAGTCTTCCTATGATGATTTACTCCAACGACAACAACGAATGGTTTCTGGTATGCGTTGACTTTGTAAGTTGTGTCAAACGCTATTACCTTCCCGAAAGCCTTGTAATCTGCTTGGCATATTCCATCACACCAAAACATTTTGTCAATCCCATCGTGGTCATCTCGTGTGTATTTAAGAAAAAAAGATGGGTCCGAGGCTGTTTTTCCAAGTAAATAAGCCAACACAGTTTCTGTATCTCCGTCCTTTATTTCTTCTCTTTTAAACTTCTCACAGGTGTTGTACAAGTCTTTCTTTAGGAATCCTACTTTCCGTATTCCCCCAGCACTTTGTGCCAAATTCCTCATTGTGATGGAAAGTTTCACTCCAGAGTTCATTAAGGCTTTAATACGAATCTTATCACCATCGGTGACTTCTCTATGGCTCCTGCAATAAAATTTAAACACTAAATAAAGTATAAATAATTTAAAATATAACCTAATTAGATATCAAGTTCTTTTTTTGGTTTAACTTATTTTAAAAAGCTGACCTTTCGAAATACATCTGATTCATAGGAATCAGGTCATGGCCATTGTGCTCAGGTACAAAATCCTTCACGTACCATGAATCAGATCTGTGATCCCATTTGAAACTGATTGATGCGTTGCAACCACACCGTGTTACAGCCTTTTCCCTACGCTTCCTATCTGGTCTATTCAAATGTCTGTCTTCTCGAAACCCTTCCCTATTACACCAAAGCTTTTGGGAAGTTGGATGACCGTCAATTTTGCTTCTTGTTGTATGCTTGCGACGGATTCCAAACCCTTTCACCTTAGCGTACATCCTATAGAATTGAATACACGTGCGGTGGCTTCTAAAGGACAGTTGTTTCATTTCTGATAAAGTAAAGTCTTCTAGCTTCTTCCCAAGTTTTTCCCAAACGTCAGGGTCTAGAAAATTTGAAGGAATCTCATCAGTGTCGGTGTCCGTGTCAACATCACTTTCATTTCCGTTGTCACTGTCCTGTATCAAACGAAATATTTGGAAATGTAACTTTATATGTAATGTCCCATTTGAGATAATTATAATACCAATAAATTAGACAAGTTAGTACCTCTCTATCATCCTTAGTTTCCGCTTGATTTTTAAGCTTGTCATATGAGCAATGTAAAAAAAAACATTTAACAATAATAAATCATTAAACTCTATAAATTAATAAAAAATAATAATAATGTTTATATAAATTGAAATTGTTTAACAGATAAACATTGAAAAAATGTTACCAACCTCGGATTCAAAACATTCAGTTTATTCCAGATTATTAATTTGTGTATCCACCACTTCTTCTCCTCCGGACTCCATTTTTTTCGATTACACAAAGCCCTTATGTGATAAAAAAAAATATATATTCTATGGTGAAATAAAGAATAAAATATTTAGATTTTTTTTTTAAAATTAATAATAATATATATATACAATTTTAGTTTATTTTAAAAATATTGTTACATAATCTTTCGTTTGATAAGTTATGGAATTAAAGATATGGAATTACACAGTTACCTTATTATTCTGAGCATGTCTCCTAATATATCACATTTTTTGGAACCTTCTTAGTTTGGTTAACGTAAAATTAGGAAATTTCAGTACATAATCTCAATTTTTTTTTTTAAAAAAACTGTTTGTTAAGTCATGACTCTTTTTTCTAATAACAAGAACTAACTACATTGATTAAATAAAAAGTTATTGTGCTGAACATATGTTATTTACAAGACTACAATTTAGGGCTATGTATCTTATTGACATAGTAGTAATTGTCAGGTCAAGAAAAAATAATTAATACTCCGTAATAAATTAGATGAACTATGTGACATTGTAATTTAGGTAATACTACATAAATATTTTGGTCATCACCAAAATTTATATATTATGTTTTTTTTTTTAAAATAATTAATATATATTTTACAATTTTAGTTTATTTCAAAATGATTGTTACAAAATCTTTAGTTTGATAAGTCAAAGGATTAAAGATATGGAATCACATAGTTATCTTATTTATTCTGCGCATTACTCCTAATATATGGCATGTTATGGAACCTTATTAGCTTTGTTAACTTAAAATTAGGATATATCATTATAGAATCTCAAATTTGTGATTTAAAAAAAAACGGAAATAAAACTGTTTGATAAGTCATGAAACCTTATTTTTCGGATAATAAAAACTAACTATATTGATTACATAAAAATTTAAAAGTTATTGCACTTAACATTTGATATTGAATAGACTTCAATTTAGGGTTATTTATATAGTTGACATAGTACTTTAGGTAATAACACATAAAATTTTTGGTCATAACCAATAATTCATTAAAAAATTATTATTCATTAATAAAATTACATAAACTTTGAAACCCTAAATAAATAGCACCAAAAAATTAAAAAGGTCACTAAGTTGTAAAAGAAAATTTAATCCTCCACCGTAAGATCAACAAAGTCAATGAATTTCGTTATCTTGGGGACTTTTTCAGGACGCTTGGTGAAGGATGTAGGTGTCCATGTTTCTTCATTTGAAACCAAATCATCAAGCGTTTCAGCAACCTCAAGAACATGCTTTCCGTTCTCATTCAATGGCATGTATTCAAACATAAAATGTTCTCTGTAGTAGGAATTACGCTCAAGATAGAATATTTTTTAAGAAACTCTGGCTGACCAACAACCAAACGCTCAGTTGGTGTTATACCACATTCGACAATTAGTCTTTTCATAAATATTCTAAATTGAATGAAATATTTGGCTTGACTGACAACATCACCAAGTATTCCTGGAGGAGGCCCACCAACCGGATTGTCATCGTATGGCAACCCGTTGTCCATACGATAGACAGTAACTTCATCGGTAAAAACCATTTCAATTGTAGGTATTTGCCCACAAGCATGCAATGTATCCCTAACTTTTTTTCCCCAATACTATAAAGTAAGTGGGAAATGAATAAACTAAAATGAATAATGTCAAACAAATGATCAAACACTGCATCAGGATTAGGTGCCATTTCAGAATAAACTGAAAAGATAAGGGTTTTTAAAAGACAAATTTAAACCGTGGAAATAAATATTGAAAGAGAATTCGATTGCGAGATTATGAGGCTTTACAGTGGTTAATTAGCTATGAATATATATCATACAAATGGCGCTAAAAGGTACGAGTTTTCCCACCAAAATGTGTCACCATAATTTTAATATTTATTTCCCTCCAAATATGAACTAGTCATATATTACCTTGATATGAAATTAAATAGAATAAATTGATTTACTAATAACCGAACTTCATAATTTATATTACACATACAGAATAAATTCTTGTTATGATTTTGTAAACAGTATTTTATGTCTTAATTTACTCTTTATCAATTATTCTTAGCAATCTGTTTATTTATGTTAAATATCTACTCTTTCTTTTTTTTCCTTTATGTTTATATAAATAAAGCTCCTCTCATGGAGCAACCAATGTATTTGGTAATTCATGACATAATTTAAGCCGAAATACAGTTAATAACTCAAGATAATGTTGTATATTTAAATAATTAATTACCTGAAATAAGATGAATAAGTAAAAACAATGGTGTATTCAATATAATATGTAATGTCATACATCATTTTATGTTATAACCTATTTTGTTTGTTTCATTTTGTTGTGGGTTATCTGGTATATTTAATTAATTTTTTATCATTCATGTTTGTTTTAGTATTTCAAAATTATATATAATTAAAAAATAAACTATATCAAAGTTTCAAATTTGATTAGTTATGGTAGTATGAAATTTACTTTAATAAACATTTCGTTTTCTTTTTTTATTTTCTACTTGATGTATTTCGTTTTAACTCAAATAAATCTTATATTGAATCACTTGATATATGGAATGAAATCGGTTTCACATTTTGGCGCCAAAAATGGTGTGAAAATTGATCATTTTGGCGCCATTTTTCTTATTTTATATACGTAGCTAAACCTCCAATTTAAAGCGTCACAGTTACTCTCTCTCAATCTTTTTCTCTTTTAGTGAATAGCTCCAAAATTTCTCTTTATCATTTCATTTTTTTTCCAAAAATGCCTCCAAGTGCGGAAGCAGTCTTTGACATGAGTTTGACATATTTGAATTTAGGTTATTTATCACTCATTTACTTTATTGTATTGGGGAAATAAAGATAAGTGACATATTGATTGCATGTGGGAAATTACCTACTGTTGAAATGATTTTTGCCGATGAAGTTACGGTGTATCGTATGGATAACGGCATGCCCTACAATGAAAACCCTGATGATGGGCCTCTTCCCGGAATATTGGGTGATGATGTAAGTCATGCAAAAGATTTAATCGAATTCCGGATATTTATGAAAAGACTAATCATCGTTTGTGGTGTTACACAAGCCGAGTCTTTGATTGATGATGTAACCATTTCCAAATTTCTTAAAAATATCTTTCGACTCGAGCTGAACTCTTACTATAGAGAGCAATTCATGTTCAACAAGTTGCCATTGAATGATAATGGGAAACATGTTCTTGAGGTGGCGGAAACGCTATATGATATTGTGTTAAAAGAAGAAACATGGTCGGCCGATTCCTTCACCAAACGTCCAGAAAAAGTCCCCAAGATTACCAAATATATTGATTTTGTTGATCTTACCGTTGGAGGATTAGCTATATTTAATCACATTCATTGTCGTTAATTATGGTTATGTTTTTATTTGATAATGTGCGTAGTTTATTTTGGTTAAACCATTAGGGTTTTTAATGGTTGATGTTTTTATCGTATTCAATAAGTGATTACCTACTTAATTTCACTCATCTATGTCTTAATTTTTTCGTGATAACATATTGTACATTTTTATGTTGTTATCTAATAATAATTCTTATTTAAAAAATAAAATTAACAATGAAATAAAAATGTGCTCTTCAAGATTGTTTTCAATGAAAGTAAATACAACTATGATAGTTATCCCTAAACCTGGGCACGGGCCGGGTTGGCCCGCGTGCCGCCCGGCACGGCCCGCCGTTCGGCGCAGCCCGACACGGCTCGAAGTCAAGCACGGCACGACACGAAGTTCAACTCCCGTGCCACGGGCCGTGCCACGGACAGGGTTGAGAATTCCCAGGCACGACCCGGCACGAGCACGGGCATGGCCCGCCGTGCTGGCCCGCAGGCACGGCTCGCGGGCCAACGGTAATGTTACCGTTTCATCTAGCTCTAATAAGCCAAAAAAACGGCTATAAAACGGCTAGTTTTTTGCCAATTTGCTCCCCAAAAATTCTATAAATACTCACCTCCATTTCATTCCCAAATCACAAAATCACAATCTCTTCTTCTTATCTCTTATATTCTCTAAATCTCTAATAATCCTTATTTTCTTAAATTCTCTAATTATTCTCTTAAATTCTCTAATTATTTTCCTAATATCGGAAAAAATTAAAAAGTTCGTAATCGTAATTAGTGGAGCGTTGAAGCACAGTTGTAAGATCTAAACTAATCTTAAATTTATTATTGTTTTATTGTTATTATTAGAATAATCTTGTTTAATTATTATTGTTGTTAATTGTTATTGTTGTTGTTATAATTGTTGTTATTAATTATTATTATTGTTACAATTGTTGTTATTATTTATTTTTGTTGTTATTGTTATTGTTATAGTTGTTGTTATTAATTAATATTATTGATATTTTTATTGTTAAAATTGTTGTTATTAATTATTATTATTATAGTTAACCACTTTTTATTAAAAAATTAATTGTTAATTATGGCATCGAACAACCCATCATCTAGGTCTAGGGGGAAAGGCCGACTTATCCGTAGTAGTAGTTCTAGGGAGCCACCAAATACAACGAGCCCCCAAATTACGAGTCAAACCAATGACCCCATTTACTTCCCCCCGGGCTATGAGCCATATAATACGTCGGGATTTCCAGCACCACCACTAAACCAATTTCCACTACCACCATACCAATTTCCACCTAATTATATCGGTAATCAACAAAACTATTGTTCTAGCCAAGGTAGCCAAGAAAGTACCCGAATTCCCTCTGGTTCTACCCCTTCTACTGCCACTCCCACTAGTCCCACTACTAACCATCACACACATCATGAATGGTTAACCGAAACTGAGATGCTACTTTTGAAAAACCGAAGGAGTGAGGTATGGCGTTATTTTGTCCTAAGTAAAGATGGTGAACAATGGGCAAAATGTAAAACATGTAATAGTGTATTCACGGCAGTTACCAAAAACGGGACGGGACACTAATCTAGACACATGAAAGCTTGTGCAAAACCAGCTAGTGATCCAACCCAGCCCAAAATTTCCCAATTCCATCCATACGGCTTTACATACAACTATGAGAGGGATAGGGATGAACTAGGAAAAATGATAGTACACGCCGAACAACCTTTTCTTTTCTCGGAAAGTGACGCATTCAACACCTACATTAACAAAGCACTACAACCCCAACATAAAAGAATCTCTAGGAAAACCGTTCGTTCCGCCGCAATGAAAAATTTCCTAGAGTACAAAGTCCGGTTACAAGCCGAATTGAGTAACCTTAACTGTAGAGTATCTTTAACAGCCGATTCTTGGGATAGTGGTTATAAATATCACTATTTATGTGTGACTTGCCATTGGGTAGATGATCAATGGATGTTACAAAAAAGAATAATACATTTCAAAATGCTGGAATACCCACACACCGGCATTAACATTGCTCACCATTTAATGCAAGCAATAGACGAATACAACCTTTAAGATAAAATGATGTCTATGACTTTTGATAATGCAACCTCTATGACATACACAGCTAATCTTATCAAACAAAACTTAACCGATGTACTATTAGACGGTGAAGCTCTTCATACTAGATGTGTTTTCCATGTACTTAACTTATGTGTACAGGATGGAGTTCGGGCAATTGGCCCATACTACAGCAGAATCAGAGATGCTATTATGTCTATTAATAGCTCTAACATGAGATACCAAGAATGGAAGAGTTTTCTAAAACAACAAAAGATAAGGGTAATAAAAATTAGAACCGATTGCCCAACTAGGTGGAATTCCACCTATGACATGTTAACAAAGGCAATTGAGTACAAGGGCCCGTTAACATTATTTTACAACCAAAAATTTCCACAAAATGCTTTGTATGATGATGATTGGAAAAACTGTGAAAGATATATGCAATTTTTACAGTTATTATATAACATGACGTATTGTTTTTCTACTGTTTACAATCCTTGTGCTCAAAACTTTCTTTCTAATGCATGCTTACTCGCCCAACTTTTCGCTGATCATCGCCATCAAAGTGATTATGATCAGTATCTTCCAGCAATGGAAAAAAAGTGGCGTAAATATTATAGTGAGATTCCTTTGATTTATATTTTTGCTTCCATATTAGATCCTAGGCAAAAGTATGAAAACACATTTATGTTAGTTGACATTTACTTTCAATGCATGTTTCTTGACGATGATGTAGAAAACTATAAGACTAATGTGAAGGATCAGTTTTTTGCTTTATATAGAGTCTATGAAGCCAAATATGGCACCGTTCCTCGCTCAGGGCCTTCCCAACCATCCAAAAACGTAAGTAAGAAGGCCAAACATTTATTTTCACAAGCTACTAACTTGATTTCAAGGTTTTCAGGTGATTCATCAATTAGGAGAACGCAAAGCGACGTCTCGGAGTTGCAGATGTACCTGAGTTACGACTTCACCAAAGGCATGGACGACGATGAGATAAACAGCCTCGACCTCCTTGCATGGTGGAAACAACAAAGCTCGAAGCATCCAACTTTGGCGGCAATGGCACGAGACATTCTTGCTATCCAAGTTTCCTCCGTCGCCTCCGAACGAGCTTTCAGCGCATCCGGAAG